GCTTTTACTTTTGCCAAACAGAGAAAGTAAGCATTTTTTCACTGAAATATCGACTGAAAGACCACCCTTTCATCACATTTTACAGCGCATTTACAGTTCAGTGCAACAATAGCATATAATCTCTGAATATGTGAACAATAAAATCACATCAACACATGACCTCTTTCCTCTCTGACCTAAAGGACCCCCCTTTCCCTGTATGCTACCCAAAACCCTAGGTCAAATCCCCTCACATTGCCCTTGATTGACCCCACGAATTCCCCAAATCAGCATCAAGAAACCCTAGACAAGCTCATGGAAACTACTTCCCCTACGAACCCTGGGGACGCACACAACCAACCCTAGTGAGCAGATCGACCCAAAATTCACACTACATCGGCATGATCGGCCTAAAAAACCTAACCACTCCGCCGGCAGGAACAAGGGAAGCAGAGGAGGAGGCAGAGGAGGCAGAGGAGTGCTTACCGTATTCAGGAGGCCACTTGCCGGGTTCCCTATGCCGCGGCTCCATGGCGCCTTGTGTCGCCGCCGATGAGGCCGACGGCGGCGTCGCCTCACAGGAGCAGGAGCAGATGAGGAGGACAGGACGGGCGAAAGAAGGAAATATTTTCTAAGGGGTTTGCATCGGGGCCGACGACCAGGGGGTTTTCTGTCGGAGGTATGGACTTGTCTGCGAAATTGCTAAAGCGCGAGTTTTTTTTGTAAAAACACACTTCGGGCCAGACAGAGCCTACCTGGCGCGCCACGTGTGCAGTTCGGGGTGGTTTTGTATGAATTTGTTACAACAGTCAAGTTGGAGGACTAGTTTTGTGGGGGTTTTTAGTTTTTGTATGAAACTGGTCCCACCCCTACAAGTTTATGTACCAATAGTGGTATTAACTCTTTTGCATGCATGGACTGATTTTCGACAAGTTTCCCTCTGTCAGAGGTTCGGTCCATACTTGCGCCACATGTTCAAGGCTTGTGCTTAAATAAAAGAAATTAGAGGAAGAAGACATAAACTAGTGCCACTCACTCTCTTCGATTATTATTTTCCTTGATTATGTGTATATGTATAGTCATCTGCTTCGGTACATCCCCCTTAAATTGAATCAACTGTGGAGATTTAAAACATACCACCGTCTAGGCACTAGGCGGCGACGTGGTCACGGTACCAGGACTCGCGGTAGTACTCGGCTTTGCGGCGCCTTGACGGTGCACCCCTTATTCACCAAGCGCTCTATGTCGGAGCCATGTGCTTATGGTATCAGGTCTCAAGGCGATACTCAGCATGTGACTCCTCGGCGGTGGACCGCCCATCCGCAAAGCTCTCCATGCGGGCGAGGTGCTCGTGGTATCGAGCTCACGGCGGTAGTCCTATCGCGACTCCTTGATAGTGCGCTCCTATGCCTCCACCCTAACCCCCTCCCTCGAGGTGAACCCCATCCTCCTCCATCTTGAATCTACGCCTCGTCGTGCGGTTGGAGCTCTTGGTTCTTAGTTGCCTCGTCGTCCGTAAGCATCTCCACCTCTGCCTCTGCCAACACGTCTGACGTACTTAGTGTAGATGGATCTCGTTGCAGAGCTCATGGATGATAATGATGTGGCATAGCGAGGTGGTGCCTCCACGGTAGTAGTCACTGACACAGGGCTCGTCACCATGGCCGTCGGGGGTGGGTTCTTCAAGATCCTAATTGGATAACTGCATCAGCAGTGGAGCTGAAAATGGACGACGGTGGTGGTTTGGAGGGGAAATTTCAGTCATCCGAGAAGTAGTCTTTTGGCACTAGGATTGAGAGTAGGAGCGCAAAAGGAATTTCCTACATATTATAGGAGGGGGGGGGGGCAAAAGTACCCTTCTGAGCTCCACTGAACAGTCTTGCAAAAAAATAGAAAAAATCTGATTTTTTTAGTAAACTTTGACAAATGTTCTAAGTGTTTGCAAATTTTTATCATGAGATCACATTCATGGAAGGCGTGGCCAAAAATAAAAGTCAGTGCTCCAAAATGCTTTCGAAAATAACATTTTTGAAGCATCAATTTTTTTTATTCCTTCCACGAATGTGATCTCATGATGAAAATTTGCAAAAACTTAGAACAGTTGTCAAAGTTTACCAGAAAAAAAATTAGGATTTTTTTATTTCTTTTCACCTTCTTTGGTTTTACTGTT